ATCTTCATCCACGATCCTCAACAGCGTACGCGAACAACGTCTCCAACGGCTCTCTCAAAAGCGTCAGAACGAAGCTGCACTGTCTATCCAATCCTTTTGGAGGTCGTATCTCTCATCGAAAGAGTTGAAGAATGAGTTGCGAGTTACGGCGTTCCAGAGTGGTTCGCCGCCCGGTGGCAAGGGGGAAGATGCAGGATTGACGAGATTGAGGTGTTTGATGCTTTTGGGGAAAGATACGGAGGCGTTGGCTAGATGGAGTGGAGAGTTTGTGAAAGCGGGAGCAGGAGGAGAAGCAGGGCTGTTCAGGCTCGCCAAAGGCCCGTATGCATCCAACTGGCTGATTTGTATACGGCAGATTGCTTGGAGAATACTGGAAAGCGTTTCTCTGAATCCAACGTACGTCTATCGCATGGTATCTCCTTATCTCTGCTGAACCCCTATAGCTCACCGACGTCTTCAAATCATCTCTCCTTGCTCACGAATGTTCTCTCGTCCAAATCCGCAGGACGTCAACTGGGACCAGAACTGGGGAGTGAAGCAGTTCAACATATCCTAGTCTACCTCCTCCTACACGAATACTATAAGCTAATAGGAGGTGCCATATCTCAAATCGTATGTCCATCTCCTTCATTCACATCTGGCACGCAAACTAAGCGCCCCCGATAGCCCCTAGAGCAAAAGAAGCATCCCAACCTCCCTCCCTTGCTCACACTCGCCACGATACCACTCACGTCTCTGCCTCCCTCCTCTCCTCAGTACACCTACGCACTCTCCCAACTCTTCACATACATCCTATCCATCCACCTCCTTCCAAACCGTCTCCCAGTCGACGCCCTTCCGCTCTTCCTCTCCCGAATCCCTCTCTCACATCTCCACGTTCTCTCATCGCTTCCGTCCACAAAGGGCGAAGACCCCATCCTAAGAGGGCTGAGTACCGAGGACCACATCAACCTCCTCGCAAACTGCACCATGTTCTTCACACCTCACTATTCCAAATTCGGCAACGACAGTCTAGGATGGTACCTCCGCTGGACATCCACAATCTTCAGCTCTCTTCCACCCGGTTCGTTCGAGCCGTCCTCGTCACCCAAATCCACAGCTACAACAGCATCGTCGTCCTCGAAACCCACAGCATCGAATGACTCGGACGACGATACGATCAAAGTCACCGTTGTCTCCTCATTCACACCTCCAGATCCCAAGCCGCAAATTGACACTAAAACACTGACGAGGCTATCCAAGCTCTCTACTCTATCTCATCTCGACAGCCTTCTGGTCTACGCTAGAAAGAGCGAAAAGGTACAAGCTGGGTTTGTCGAGTGGGTTCTCGGGTTGAACTACGTGAGTCTCTTTCGCTTCTTTCTTTCCATAGTAGGCATATTTGGCTGATCGAGTCGACTGATAGGTTTCACCTTCAACGCGCGAACACGTCTTGACTTCCATACTGGCGTTGACAGATGGAAGTCTTATCCGTTCTCTTTACCGAAACAGTGTTCGAGGGAGCGTGTTGGGACGAGACGGGCTCGGTCGTGACGCATTATTCGGTACGTTCTCCCCTCTTCATCCAACACAAAGATAGCACTAACGCTCGAACCAGATCCCAAAAACGCACAAGCATGGCCACCCCTCCTCTTCCTCGCAGAACTCTACGCCCAAGCACTCATCACAATGGGCGACGACGAGTTCTTCGGGACCTCCTCCTCCTCAGACTCTTCGTACTCGACCTCGGCGCTACCATCATCCCGAAGCGGAGGAGCGGGAAGCGCGTTGGTCGGCGAGACGGTCCAAGCACGTAACCCGTTAACGTTGGACGAAATCTCCAATTTCGCGAGGCAAATGTTGGGTATCGCGTTCACGCTTTATTGGGTGGAAGATTCCAACGGGTCAATGTCACGAGGCGTAGCCGGTACTTATCTCCCTCTTTCCTTCAGTCGGAGAGGTATTAACCGAGACACACACAGGTTACACACTCCCAACGATCCTAACCAGGCTCACTACCTGCCTCGTCGCTATCCATGCACGCGATTCGCGTAAGCGGTTTATGGACGTGGATGGGTGGCTTGTGAACCCTAGTGTGGTGGGTGGAGGAGCGGGGATGAGGGGGTTCGTCGAGGCTGCCATGTAAGTGGCATCGTTCTCTATGCTTATTTTTTGATTTCATTCCTATCCATTGGCGATTTCCTCCAATACTAATATCAACCTTTCTCCTCTAGTCTCGAAGAAACTCACCTCGCAGAGGATCCTTCTGTGCCGCTCGACCTATCAACTGGAGGAGGTACGCCTTTGCCTTCACTCTTCCTACTTCGTAAAATGTTCCGACTGATTCAATGATCAATAGCCCGCCGAACGAACAACAACACCAACATCTCCAAACGTGCCTTGGCCTCACTCTCACCGTGTCTCCGCGTGCTACACAACATTCCCTTTGCAATCCCATTTGAAGTCCGCGTATCCATCTTTCGTCATTTCGTGTTGAATGATATGGTCCGTGTGCAAGGTGTTGGAGGGCGGGATCGATATAGGTCAGTCGGCCGTCTTCTTTCTTCTATCTCCTGCCTCTTTTCTTCGGAGGAGGGCCCTAGAATTACGAAACTGACGATCAACTCGTATACAGCGCTTTCAACCACTACAACAAGACCCGGATTCACGTTCGACGTGGACGAGTGGCTCAGGATGGGTTTGATCGACTTTCAGAGGCGGATTTGAAGCGTCCGATTGAGATTACGTTTATTGATCAGTTTGGGAGCGAGGAGTGAGTGCCGTCCCTCCCTGTCTAAACAACCGCTAACATTCACATCCCCCTAGAGCTGGAATCGACGGAGGAGGTGTCTTCAAAGAATTCTTCACAGATCTATGTAAAGAAGTATTTGACACTGACCGTGGACTATGGCTCGCCAACAAGAAGAATGAGCTGTATCCTAATCCGCATAGTTATGCCACGGAAGGTGCGTTTCGCCTCATATTTTAGTATCGTATCCCAGGCTGCAGTACTGACGGGGGATCTGTTCGCAGCACATAGTCTGAATTGGTATCGGTTCATTGGTCGTGTCCTGGGCAAGGCGATGTATGAGGGTATCCTGGTCGACGTGGCGTTTGCGAATTTCTTCCTTGGAAGGGTGAGTCTGGACTTTCGTCTCTCCTCTTCCTCATCGCTTGCGTTTTGGCGGCCCCACCATGAGACCATCGAAGAATGCTGACCTCCTTTCGCTGTAGTGGCTAGGCAAACAAAGCTTCTTGGATGATCTCGCGTCGCTCGATCCCGACTTGTACAAAGGTCTCCTCTTCCTTAAGCACTACAAAGGAAACCCGGAAGAGCTAGCGCTGAACTTTACTGTCGCTGTCGAAGGTTCGTATGCATCCTCTCCTATGATTAAGGCTTACACCCGCCTCTACAGAACTTGGAACGACACAAACGATCGAACTCATACCCAACGGAACCAACATACCCGTAACAAAATCCAACCGACTGGACTATATCACCCTCGTCTCGCATTACAAGCTCAAGAAGCAGATCAAGAAGCAGAGCGAGGCGTTCTTCGAGGGGTTGAGTGAGATGATTGACGGGCGGTGGCTAAGGTGCGTTTACCTCATCCCCTCCTTTTTATCTTGCCCAATCCCTTCGTGCTGAGCGATGGGGTACTGATCAACGCCGTAGAATGTTCAACCAACAAGAAGTCCAGATCTTGATTGGGGGTGTCAATTCGCCGATTGACTTGGACGACCTGCGGAAACATACCAATTACGGCGGGCTGTATGATGACCAACACCCTGTCATCGTTGCGTTTTGGAAGGTGCGTTCATTGGGGTTGCGTGGTTTCTTCCTTTGAGATGTTCGCTTGATACCATTCCTTTTATTTCTATCGGGGAACTTTCCGCGGTATCCATCTTGACGAATCGTGTCTTTCTTGGCCATGTTCCGTCGCATTCGAATCACACTGCGTCGAAAGTCATTTCCCGTTCATCTCGTTCCCCAGATCCTTCTGGGCATGATTCATTCCTCTGGTGGTGCCCTCCTGCCATCGAAGCCCCCCAGTTCATTGTATCCTTCATCTTTCTTCTCCCATCCATCTTTCCATACCAACCTTACTTGCCCTGTCCTTGAAAGCCGTCCCTGAGCTATTTGTGCCTTTTCATCCGGGGCCGACGCTCGCGGTCGACTTGAATTTTGCCTGTTCCCTGCTTGACACAATCAATCCATGCTGTCGATATGGCCGCATTTCGACTTGGGCGTATGCTTGGATATGGGCTTCTCTCCTTCTACGGGCGTGTTGCCAAATCGAACTGGTTCTGACCAGTTCTTCCCTTCTAGGTCGTCAACTCGTTTGATCAAGAACAGCGTCGTGCACTGCTGCGGTTCGCAACGAGCTGTAGTCGGCCTCCCCTTCTGTACGTCGTAGCCTTCTATCGGATAGAATTGGCACTGATATGTATGGGTGTAGAGGATTCAAAGAACTTGCTCCGAATTTCTCAATTCGAGATGCAGGCCAGGACGCTAACCGGCTACCTACGGCAAGTACATGCGTGAATCTTCTCAAGGTACGCTATCCCATCTTCAATTGATGTTTCTGTGCATCTTTTCCTTCTCCCGCTCTTCTGCCTTCTTTGAATTACCAGGACCATGGGTGCTGTTTTTCGCCTCTTGGCTTATAATTGAGTGTTTAAGAATTGTATTGACGGGTTACATCACAGCTTCCACTCTATCCCAACGAGAGGATCATGAAGGAGAAGATCCTACAGAGTATCACGTCGAATTCAGGGTTCGACTTGTCGTAGTCCTTTTTTCATTGTCCCCTTCATCACCCGTGAACGGCGCCGCTATCGCCCTCAATGCATGCGCTCAGTGATTCGCTCATGTAGCATTTCTTCCACATAGATTTTATTCGCACATGTACCATCTTTGAATTGGGAAATCTGGATAGCGGAGAAGGATTGAAATCGCTCAGTCTCAGTGGTTGAGCTCGTTGCTAAGTATAATTCAAAGAACGACTATCACATTCACCTCCGATATGGTGTAACGGCTAACATTACCGCCTTTCATGGTGTGCGTGCGCGGTAGCTCGGGGTTCGATTCCCCGTATCGGAAGTTGGAAAGTTATACTTCTTGTTTTACCCATTCTTACAACGTTCAACCGTTCAAGCTCAAGGCTTAAGCGATAATATACAAGTGATGACTTTTTACAGGGGAACAACTATGCAGACTTTGATTCAAAAATGAAGCGATGTCACGCCCTTTCCTCTTGCTCTGGAACGGATACCTTCTCGGACGACGATCTATCCCTCGCTTCAGCAGCGAGGCCAGCTGCAGCAATCTCTGCGGCCTTCTCTTTTCCGTCAAACAGAACTGCAGTTTCTTCAAGAGTTCGGTTCTTGGTCTCGATGACGACTAGAAAGATGCATAAGTTACGTTTGACTATGGACGCAAGATGAATCAACTTACAGAAGTAGCAATAGATGAACTCAAAGACGAGTACAACCACATAGGCGATGTAGTACTTCCACTCGAGAGCACCGAGAGCGATCGGGTTGACGTATTGGTTGAACACGAGGGAGAGCGAGATGGCGATGTTAAATACGGCCAAACCCTTTGCCCGGATGTGATAGGGCAAGATCTCAACAGTGTAAGAAACAATGAGGGGCGAGAGCGCCACGCTAGGAGAGAGAACCCGAGTTAGTCTCACAATTCGTTAACCGTTTGAGGGAAAGGACACACTCGTAGGCTGCATAGTACAAGAAAATGAATGCAATGAACGCATGACCAGCCTTCTCATGCTTGACTGGGTCCCTATTGTAGGTGGCGGCGGTTATAGTCATAAGAGTGAAGAATAAAGTCATGCCCGCAAGCGAGGTCAAGAACAAGGGTCGACGGCCAACTTTGTCGACTAGGAAGGCAGCGAGAAGAGCCCAGAACAAATTCCATACTTGAAGGATACCGTTAATGAGCAGCTGGGTCGAAGAATTTGTGATGCCGACGGTGTCAAAGACCTTGTTGAGGTAGTAAGAGACTAATCCGTTACCAGACCATTGGGAGAAGAAGGCGAGGGCGATGATAATGTTCATTCGGCGCCTATTACCACGGGTCGCGAAGAGGGTCTTCCATCCAACTTCCTTCTCTACGCGACGGTCGAGCTCGATAGCCGCCCTTATCTCCTCGAATTCATACTTGACAAGGGCGTTGTCCCTGAGGCAAGTCGTTAGCTCAAAGTTTAATAGAAGAATGTGTAGCATTTACTCATCGCCTTCGGCATGGTAGTAGGCAAGGGTTCGAAGTGCCTCTTGCTCACGGCCCTTGCTCACCAGCCATCGAGGAGACTCCGGGCAGAAGAAGATGAGACCGATTTGGATTAGAGAAGGAAGTGCTTGAAGAAGGGAAGGAATGCGCCACGCCCACGTGGTTGCCCCCATCTTCTCGGTACCAAACGTCGTCCAAGCGGCACTATTATTAGCCATTAGTCACTCAACTGAGGAAGTGCTGTGAGTATGACGCACATGATCGATCCAGAGTACCAGAGGGAATTGTATGCAGATGTTAAAGGGGCTCGGTACGTGGGGTACGATACCTCGGAAATGAGGAGAGGGGCAGCGCAAGCAGCAAATGCCACACCGAAACCAATGAAAAATCTACCAGACGTATCAATTATCAATGACAAGAGGTTAGTCGTGGGTGGGAACGTACCGAGCTACCAGAAACATGGCCACGTTCTGGGATGCAGTCTGAATTGCGGTAGCGATGATCATGATCACACAACCCAGAAAAATAGAAGCTCGACGACCAAGGCCATCAGAGACATATGGGGTGAAGAAGTAGGCGCAGAATGAACCGATATTCTGGAACAAGAGGCTTAGCATTGGCTCTGCGACCTTCGAGAAGAAACACACCTGGATAGCTGAGAACAACCCTAGTAGGGTATCCTGGGGGTTATTAAAGTAATCGTGCCAGCCGTCAATGGACTGGAGGCCATTGAGCATACTTCCGTCGTATCCAACCGTTGAGGAGGTGATGAGGCTGAAATGGAGTTCAATGGGATGTATCCGCAAAAGTGAGAGGTTGTGAACATACAGCAACACCATCCACCCGTTGAGAATAATAAGTCTGCAAGGGCTATGTGAGATATCGATCCCAAGAGAAACTTCAATGAACATACCTCCTGTTGTTGTACCATTTCTTTGTTGGGTCAATGAGCTTCTTGTACTCCTCGTTGCCACCAGTAGACGCGATTGCTCCTCCACCCATGTTTAGTCAATTTAAATCCCACGCGTGATGAGAAACTACGTTGGCAGAGGGGAGGAAGGAAAGAATGGGAATGCCGGAGTGGACCAGCGCTGTTTATATTCGAAGGAACGGGGGTCTTCGCACCGACACTGGCTGATGTTTGATGCATTCCCTTCGAAAGCTCAACCCAGGCTTGGCTTTGCGGCGTTTGGTGCCGCCTGGCCATCACCGTTCGAGAAGGGGGCCTCATTGGGCTCGTCATGGCTCTAAGCTGCGAGGTTCTTCCATAGGAGGGACCAGGTGCAACATTGCAATGTCTCGAATTCAGAATCACTCGTCTGCGTTTAAGTTGGTCGATTCGGACCGCCAACCTACTCCCGACCAACCATATCAAGCTGAAACACGTATTTTGAATAAGCTTTTCTTCGAAGCCCAAGGGGACGGAGCCTAAGACGCTCGAATGCCCGTCAATTGGCCTGCAAGAGATTGGGCACAAGTGACTACAATCAGAACTCAATAGCTTCCCGTGGCTCCACCCATGACAAGCTACTGACCCCGGCGAGGGATGGTTCTCTCGTGGTAGCCGTAAATAGAACCCACGAGTCAATCCCCTTTTCTCAAAGATGAAGTTGCTGGTTATGTAGGTATCAGCGTGGCTAAGGAATGAAGATGACGGGGATCGCAAACAGGAGTATCAAATCCAGCTAATGGAGTATCCACTGTTGTAGTAACATGCTGGAGCATGCACGTATTGTTGTCAACGGGGGCATTGATCATTGCGACTAATGCACAGCTCGTGCAGAAGCCTTGAGAGCGGGACTCGTACCCGTTTGTATCGCAGAGAAAAGGAATGAAGGGCCAGAAACCGAGTTTATTTCCTGGCTCAAGTAACGAGCGCCAGGAAATTCGTTCCTGACACAAGCTTATTCCGTGTCGATGAGGGCGCTACTCGTATGACACTCTTGGACCTGAGCCACGGGTTAAGCCAGTCATTCAGACACGTACGGCGAGAATCAAGACTGACCGTGGATGAGATCGCAGCCCAAAAAATGCTTCGGATACGGGGAATCGAACCCCGAGCTGCCGCGCACGCAAGTGATGAGAGGCGGCAATGTTAGCCGTTACACCATATCCGACTTAGCGACCTTCGCTTATCAGAGGTTATCATCAGCATTGCTGCTTGGCCTCTGCTGGAAGTGGCTTTTATACTGATTCGCCCGAACATGCCACTGAAGACGGTCCCTGAACCGTGGCCACAATAAATGCAGCCACTGACTGCTTCCGTCACTTGCATATAAGGCCACTCATCCGTTTGTTTCTCTTCAACCACAACAACGATCTAATCAACCCTACACTGACACTCCCTTCATTCATTTGCACGCCATTCTTTGCATTCAACCCTTTGGGCATCGCCAGTACCCCATTTACCCCATTCTCGAATTCGCTCAGTATGACTAACGTCGCCGGCTACAGCTTTGACAGCGACGTCTTGATGCAGCCTTCGACTCCCAACCAACAGGCCACATTTGCCGAAAATCTCTCTGCGTCAATGACAGGCCCTCAAGAAGTAAAACCTTGGGACTTGCACAACTCTGGTAGTTATCGCAACCCATTTTTGGACCCCTCACCAGCCCCCTACGCCACCGAATCTACTGCAACCCCGCCACTCACGTCAAGTACACCTACAGCACCCAACACCCACAGGTTCACTCAGCATCCAACCCATGATCCATACCCCTCATTTACAGCATCTCTCAGCTCCACCAACATTCAATCTCCCAAGCGGAGAGCCAACACCAAACGCCACATATCCCATCGCCAAGCCACAGCCATCATCCACTCTCCTCGGTCCCACCGACACGTCTCCCCTGTATCGCTCAAACGGAAGAAGAGGTCAATCTACAATACCCCTCGCGGTTCGGGAGCTACCATAGGCTCCCCCATTCGAGCGAAGAAACGGACTTCGTCGAACCCCAAAGCTCTCTCTTTGGGCACTTTGTGCAAGATGCCACTTCGTATCGTACGCAAGGGGATCAAAGGAACTGTCGGGGTCGCCAAGTCAGTTGGAAATGGGACGGTGGAAGTGGCCGAAGGTGTAGGCCGTGCCTTACGATTCTCTCACCGTCGCATCTTGGATTTCGACGACGAAGAGGGACAAGAGATACTGATGGAAAGTGAAGGAGTTGGTGACGACGATGACATGGACTCCCCCATGCCATTATCTCCTCTTGCCCAACTCAACTTGAGTGCGTTCGAGAGCTCGGCAAACGATATCGCTACGCCTTCCAGCTCTCAAGAGTTCAACTCGTCGATTGGCTTCCCCATCCATGCACGACCCTCTGAGAGCACGTCCTTGTCTGCCGACGCAGAAATGGTCGAGCATGAGGCAAACGGGAGTGTGGTCAATCTTCCAGTCTCTCCTGGACGTACGTATCGCAGCGCCTGCTCGAGTCCCAACGCGAGTATATCAAGCAGCTTTCACAATGCTCGCTCACGCAGCAAGGCGATGCGAATCCTGGGAGCCGAGGCGTATACCGCAACGCTCGAGACTCAAAGAAACACCAGGAGGAGGACCAAGTCGCTCTGGGCATGAGTTCATAGACTCATGGTATTGCGAAATCTTAACAACGCTGGTCGTTGTTCACTTCTGTCCTTTCCCAAAACCCTCTTGTAATGTATAGCCTGTTATAATGTCGTCATTTAAGTAGTCTCTTTAATCGATCGCTTTACATTTCTCCGAATTTCACAAATGCGCACCTTATCCTGGACATCGTATCAAGTCGTTACTCAACTCCTAGACCGTCCCATTTCTTCCAACCCATCGCTCGTTCGAGCCTCCTCAGTCCAACGTCAACCGTCGCTCGCTTGACACAGAAGGTGATTCTGGCGAACGAAAGTGTCAGCTTTCGCAAATGACGAGAAGCAGAATTGGTTTAGAAAGGGAGAGGTTACACGCACCGATACCACCCAGGCTCTGGCATACGATATGCCGTTCCTTTCGCAACGAGCACCCCACTCTCGGCCCAATAGTTCGACAGCAGCTCTTCGCGTTCGGCGAAAGACGTTTCAGGCGTGATCCCGACTACATTCGCAAGCGAAGCCGGGGCCCCATTCGGAGTCGAGCCATTCACCAAAGTTACCCCATTCATCTTCGACGTGGATTCAGGAAGACGAAGAGAGAGAGATTCGTCGTCCAAGAAAGGCCTGAAATTGACCATAACGAAATGGCCCGCCTGACTGGGGTGGTACGGTACACCGTGGAATTTGAGCCAAGCCGTCATGTGCTCATAACTGTCTTTCAACGCCTGTCGATTGGAAGCGATGTACTTGTCCAGAACAACTTTATCCTGCACATTATCCATTACCTCTCCTCTTTCAACGGTGCAGGAAGGTATGGGAAACTCACCTGCAAGATACTCCACCAGAGCCCTGCGCTCGGACTCCCAACGAGCATGAAAAGATTCGTTGCAATCATGGCCGCCTTGAGTTGCTCGTTCCTAGTGTGCAACACCCCAACTCTCAGCCCGTTCGAGTCGAAATCCTTCGACATGCCGTAGATCATGTGGATCCTCTGCGGGTTCACCGAAATGGCTGGTTGACTATCCTCCTTCACATCGGAGTCAGGCAACTGCACTTCGTCAAGGTTGGTTGCCAAGATTGAGGCGAAAGGCTCAGGGTTCGGGATATCACTGGAAGCAAAAGTAGAGAGAGCGTATATCTCGTCAGAGATGAGGTGAATGTTATGCTTCTCGGCGAACGCTGCGTAGGCTTGAATAACGCTCGGAGGATAGCACCTCCCGTACGGATTCTGCGGATTGCATAGAATGATTGCTTGGATCTTGGCTGGCGTTCCTATTTATAACTATCAGGAAAGAGCCCAAATGCTGAAGCAATACGCACCCGAAGAGCCAAGATTGGACCTCTTACTCTGATTAAACGCCTCCAGCGCTTTCTCAAAGTGGTCCAATTCGCGCTCCGTGAACATGTCCTCGCGAGGAACCTGTACGCCAACGGGCGTCACTCCAGTCTGAGCATCCAGAGCAATATCGAAGGCATAGTAATAAGGCTGGGCGAGTAGGATCCCATTTCCTGGGTCCACCAACGCACGAAACAGCTGGGATATGACCGACAGGAGGCCGCTTCCTATTGGAGACAGACCGACAGTCAATCGAGGGCAGGACATCGTTGAGATGGCCAAGACACTCACCTATGATAAGGTCGTCTGCCTGGACTGGTACTCGTGCATTGAAGTACTCTGAATTGAACAGGGAGGACAAGGCATGGCGGAGACGAACAGAGCCTTGGAATGAATCGCCATAAGTGAAGTCCTGCGCGTGAATGAGTCAATGCTATCCTGATGAAGACAGAGTACGAGGAAGGAGGGAGAGCGACGTACGATGTGTCTCATCTTGAAATTCCTCTCGAATATCTCAATAAGCTCATCCCATATCAAACTATTCTCTGCTACAGCCTATTCCGCCAATCCGTTGCATTTCAGAAGCTTTCGGAGAAATGGATGAGAAGCGGGCGTACGAAGTTTACAGTTCCCTGACCACAACGAATGGCATTAGTATGGGTAAGGATGAGAATCTTTTGACACACCTCTGGGTTCTCCTTCGAGTAGGTATTACCGAACAAAGGTTGCAGTTTCTGCATCTTCCGCCCAAAATCTAGCCTTGCGTCCCCAAATCGAGAAAGACTTGGTGTCGCAACGGTTGATACTGTCTCTGACATTCTAAACAGTAGCAAAAGGCCGAGAGTTGCTGTATCGCAGTGTGGGGTGTTTGAAAAACGTAGCTCAGAGAAATGGGGGACGACGTCGAAGACTCAGAGGGCGAGCAGCCTGAAGCTCAGCTGATAAGGAAAGCAGGTGATAGCGATCACGACAGAGAACAAGAGAAGGCCGACGGGGTACACGAAGATAGAAGCACGTCGCTGCTTAGAAACTCGATGCTTAGAAACTCGATGATAACATACCTGCGACATATGCGGCTGACCAACCCATGACAGACGATCCAGAACGAGTTGGCAGAATCAGCCATTCGGTTGCAGTTGGCCTTCGAATTATTCGGGAATGTTGCACGCCATTAAGCGAGTAGGGCTGCATTTCTGATGAAGAAATTCAGCGAGACGATGGCATCTCAGTTTCATCTGTCCAGAGATGAAGACCATATCGATTCATGGTGGCGGTAGGAAGGAAGAAAACCGGAAACACCTGGTCTCGGCTAGTTCCGAATTTGAATTCAACAAATAGGGGCTACTGATCGCGGAACTGGAGGGCGACGAGGGCATTATTGCCTTGTTTTCACGGATAGGACAAGAACTATCGCCGAAGGGAAAATTTGAACCACACTGAACGGCGAAGGCTCAATCGTGCAAGCTCGAAGATATGCACAAAACCTCTGAACTGACAGATGTACCCGAGTCAAAAGGGGCGAACGGAAGAAAAAGTCGTGTTTAGAAATCTACTGCCTATGTACTGGGAGGGTTCGAACCTCTGTCCCTTTTGCCATGCTTCCGTCGAGTGCGCTGAGGCATGGGGAGCCAGGCTCCGAAGTGCCGCTCAACCACATGCTGTTCTATAGCAGCGTTACACAGGCTATAAGCCCTACAACTTAGTACAAGATCTATCCCTTACAGATCGCGTCAGGCTGTTTAGGGGTAATAGAGGGGCAGCGCAGCAGTCAAACACTTTAAATGCCACTGGGACACACTTTGTCTAGTGCCCAGGGAGATTTGAACCACTTTATCCCTTGCTACGGAGATGGGGGACCTCGGGGCATGTCTCCTTTCATTCGCCCATGACATTTCTTGAGCAATTTGAACTAAGACGCCACCGTGACCACTCAAGCACACTAACCTTGATCACGTCCAATGTCGTTGTGACCAAGAAAAATCCTATCCAACGATGGAGACATGGGATTTCACAGTGATATGATAGGAACCTCGACTTGAGGTAAAAGCAGACCGGGGATTTCTACCATTCCATACGCTAGGGAGGGCTCGAACCTCCGACGCCGGGCGCCAATGACAGGGAGTAGACGCCAAAGCACATCACGTTTGAAGCCAGCCGCTTCTCTACCAGCCCTTCTTCTTGGCTTAAATATGTTTAATTTTAGAACATATCGAAATTCGA